TGGAAGAGCCGTCGTCAAGAAAAACAACAATAAGAATATCAGGTAATGAAGTGATGTCAATTGATTGATTAGTTGATATATACCATTGCTATGTTTGATTTTATGGAAATCTACCTCTGAATGTATAAATATAGCATATCAAGGTATTGGTAAAGATAACATGTTGAAACATTAAGTACCAGTACCAGTACTTCGCAAATTATGCAGTACCATTACCAGTACCAGTACTAGATTTTAGCTCGGTACTGCAGTACCAGTACTTTTTTTTGGTGAAGTAATTAAGTATCAGTACCATTACTTTTATATATTCATCAAAGTTTGAATAAATACAGTGTCAAACAAATAATTGCAAATATTATTCAGCAAAGAAGTAAAATCATAATTTACTTTAAAGTTAACATAACATATTTACAAATTCTTTATTTTTTATTTCTCTCAGTGCATCATACATGATACAAACATAAGGTATATAACAATTAACATTTGTAAAAACGGCAATACATACATGGCAAGTCATTTACAGAAAACAATCACAATACATAAAAAAAGATTAACCATCTATTGTTTATTTATTTTTTCTTCTTTCGTTCAGTAGAAAGTAAATTATTTAGTGTAATTAGTGTAATGATTCTGCAGCATAATTAATATGTATAAACAGCTGATGTGACCACGTGTTGAAAAATAACATAAAATGGTGTCTATTTCAAATAATCATCTTTGACACCTTTTTTACAACTATATAGTTTTAACATACTTTTTTACAAGTAATATTTACAACATATATTCATGTCATATCTAATTGTTTAGTAACCAGTCAACTGTATGAATACAATGCAAACATCTTTTATTTAAAACACAACAGTCTTTTTTGTTGCCTTTCACACCTCTGTTCAATTTATACCAAAGTAAATAACAACTTTTTATGATGTTAACAATATCACTTTTTTCACTTGAAATGGGATATTTTAGAATAGAAGAAATTAATTAGTGTTTATTTTGCTCTTTTACAAGTAAAAACAAAGTAATAAAAGATTTTAATAAGGATATTTTAGGGTAAAGAGTTATTGAGTCTCTGTTTATCTTAATATAATTTTTACCTTAAAGTCTTTGGTGCTTTTTATGATGAATACTATGTTAATTTTTTGAAGGAATATTGCAGCAAATTATCTTTAGATTTGATAACTTACTTTTTCACAAAAATAAAACATATTTAATGTAATTTACAGCTTTATTTTATGAGAAAAATTGATGTTATTTTTTATATTTATCAAAACCAAAAGTACTGGGTAATGCAGTAGCGGTACCACTTTTTAAGACAGTAATGCAGTACCAGTACCAGTAGTAGCAAAATTTTGTAACAGTAATTCAGTATCAGTACTTGCAAAATTGCTGCAGTACGTACTGCAGTACCAGTACCAGTAATGCAGCTCTGCCCACCATACAATGGAATAGAGCATATAAAAACCGCGAGTGGATAGAGGATGCTAGGAAACCAAAGAACAAGAATGTTATAATCGTAAATCCAGTAATCAATGGTGAAGAGAAATTACAAGAATTATTAAGAATGTTTTTCAATAAATATGCTGGTTCCCCAACTCTTTACATCATAGATGATTGCAGTGCTACAAAAGAATTAACAAAGAAAAAAGACATGCTGTCAGAGTTAGCTTTCTCTGGTAGACACGCGGAACAATCAGTGTGGGTTATTTCACAGAGATATAATTCTGTGTTGAAGGACTTGAGAGAGCAGACTAAGTGGTTGTGCATGTTCTACACTAAAGACAGAGATAGTTTTGAAAACTGTCTACGAGAAAATGATGTAATTCCGACACTAGAAGAGAGGCAGAGAATAAAAGAAGACTTGTCAAAAGTTAAGCATCGTAAGTTAATATTGAGAACAGACCAGCCTACTGGGTATTGGCTTGTTGATTAGCATTGTTAATAGGAATGCTTGTTTTTTTAGCATTGTTAATAGGAATGCTAGAAGCAATGTAGCAATGCTGTTGAGCAAAATCTGTGAAAAATATCAAGAAAATTAGCAATACTGTTAGCAAATCTAGCAATACTATTAGCAATGCTTACAAAATTTAATAATGCTGATAGATAAAAAGCAGCAATGCTAATTGAACTTATAGCAATTGTAAATATCCCTGTTGGATGCTTGATATTATTTTATTATTTCAAGTTAAAAAAATATTCAATACTATTAAAATGAACGCTGAAGAACTATTACAAAATGTTACATGTGAAAGGTTATCAGCCATTGTTGCTGCGGGTGGTAGTAAACAATATTTAGGTCGTGAATTACAACTCTCCAACATAGATGACATGACTGCTGAGCAAATCAACAAGCTTTACTGCAGATATGAAGCACGGTTGGGTGCTAGTATGACGAAGACATTGGGAAATTCTTTCATCAGCTTGTATGTGATGGGTGTATCTAAATATTTCAATGTTGTTGACCCTCCAAAGCTAATAGAAGATTTAGAAGAAGACCAGTTTATCAATCACGCTTTGACTAATGTTTGTTGTGAGATGTATTATAAATATGGGATGTATTTAGCTCCTTTCACTGCTATGCTGACAACAGCAAGGCATATTGATTTTAATAAAAAAGAAAATTTAGACCATACTATAAAAGAAGATGAATGAAGCTGAACAAGTTAAATCAGAAGACAGTCAACCTGAAATAACTATTAAACCTGAAGTTAAAATAAAGAATCCTAAACGTGTTGCAGCAGGAAAGAAGGGCGCACAAGCAAGAAAACTAAAACAGATGCAGCAGCCTGTCATGGAAGTAACAAAACCTGAAAGTCCCACACCAGAAAAACCAGTAGAAAACCCAATCAAGATAAATATATACAAAACATATTTACCAGCTGCCGTAGTCGTGATTGGAATTGCAGCGCTGTATATGTATAGAAACAAACCTGTTCAACAGGTTAATGAAGCTGTTGAAACTGATACAAAACAAGAACACTATGATCCTTTTGAATTTTAAAAAATATTTTTTTTTATGAATATCAATAAAAATGACATCAATAGACGGAAAACAAATCGCTAACATGTTATACCACGCAGGAGTGGAAACAATATTAACAGTTGGATATTCAGAACTTGGTAGAAAGGTATTTAGGAGACCAGCACCTAAAGTTGATTTTAATATGGGAGATATTGGAATGTTGTCGTTGGATATATTGCTTGCAATGGCAACACGGGACATGTTGATTAAACAGGGTATTATTCCTGCTGATATTATGAAGTAATTATTTTTTTGTCTTCTTATAAAAATGGCAAGTGCAGTAGCCATGATGGTAGGTGGTGCGTTCGTAAATGCATTAGCATTTTCAGGAAGCAATTTTTTATTCTCAAAGATGGGGAGTCATAGCGATGAAGAAAGGGAAAGACATGATAAAGCAGTGGAACAGTTAGAAGCAGCGCAAGTTGCTTGGAATAAAAAAAGAACAGAGAGGTTGGATTTCATAAATGAACAGATGCAAAAAGAGCATCATGCAGAGAAGACGTTTGATGATGTTGACCAAGCAATGAAGGAGTTTTATTATATGACTGGAAAACAGCTAGTTCCTTTACCTCCTGAACCAAAGTTGAGTGATTTCTATACACCATCGCCAGACCAGCAGAATAAAGAGATTGTTTTTGTTATAATGGGAATGACAGTAACTGGATATGTGGCTTATAAGTTGCTGTAGGCAAAAAAAATAGCATTCAGTTTTTAACATAATCTTTATGCATATAGTTTGCTGTATTCTTTGAAAATACCAAATCATACGCATGATACTTATTTTTCTTGTTTTTCTTGCAAGGTTTAAGACCAAGAGGTCTAATGTAAAAAGGTGGTTCTTTACCATCAATCTTTTTAGCAAGGTGAGCAGGACACCATACATCACCATTGTCCTTGAGAGTTAAAACTACACTCTCTCCAATGGTTGTGTCAACTGTTCTGCAAGAAGTGATTGTATAGATTTTATTGATTTCCAAATCAGTCCATCTCTGTGTTTCGTATTCACTTTGTTCTTTTAGCAGTTCTTCAAATTCATCAATTGTGATTTCTTGAATATTGTTTGCTTTTTGTGACATTGTTTTTTTATACTTATAAAAAAATCTTAAATATAAATAAATGGAAAAGGTGTACTATAGTCCAAAAGGTTTCTGGAGAGGACACTCAGCTGTAAATAAGTTAGCAAAAGAGGCTAAAGTTAGTAATAAACAAGCATTAGAGTTTTTGAAGAAGCAAGCAGTGTGGCAGGTGTATTTACCTGGGCCAAAAAAGATAATCAGACCACGGTTTGATGTGTCTGCCAAGAATGAAGTACATCAGGCAGATTTACTGTTTCTACCACATGACAGAGTTGGAAACAAAACATATAAATATGCTCTGACGTTAGTTGATGTTGGGTCTAGGTATAAAGAAGCAGAGCCACTTACATCAAAAGACAGTAAAGAAGTAGCTAAAGCATTTGAGAAGATTTATAAGAGACATTTGAAATATCCAAAGCTATTACAAGTTGACCCAGGGAGAGAATTCATGGGTGCAGTCACACAGCTGTTGGAGAAACATAAAGTGCAAATAAGAAGAGGTAGAAGGGATATACACAGAGATCAAGCTGTGGTTGAAAGGTTCAATAGAACTTTAGCAGAAAGGCTGTTTGGTTATCAGTACGCAAAAGAGATTGATACACAAAAAAGAAACAGAGAATGGGTAAAGAGGTTGCCAGATGTTGTTAAGGCGTTAAATAAGGAGACGAACAAACCTCCCCCTGTTAAAACAAGAAAAGTTGATGCCCCCATTTGTCCTACAGCTAGTGTGAGGTATTTGTATCAACCAGGTGAACAAGAAGGCGGTAGTAGGAAGCGGGCAACAGACCCGATATGGAGTGTTGATATACACAAGATTGATTATCATATTATTACGCAAGGTATACGAGTGTATTATTTGAAACCGCCTGCACCACAGAGAGGGTTTGTTAAAGAGGAATTGCTTATTGTTCCGGCTGATACCCATACGCGTATGTCGTAATTCCATCTGGTGCTATATATCTTTTTGTGTCAAGTGGGGATAGTGTTGTTTTGTTTACTTTTAATCCATAGATGTTGTGTTGCATGGAACGTAACATGTTCATTGAGTGTGTGTACTTTTGCTTGTTGAATAATGCATCTTTATAGTTCTCAAAGTTGATTTGTTTCTTGATTACATATTTTTTAACACCCTTTGCTTTCTTGATTACCTGTTCATCTGTTCTCATTATAGAGTATAGTTTAGGACGCAAACCGATATATTCAGCTATTGCAACACCAGAACATTCATCTTTGAATTTGCCTATGACTTTCTTGTTTGTTTCATCATGTAGTGGGTGTTCTTTTGGATAATCAGAGAAGTCATATTCGTCTTTCATCTCAGACATATCTTTATAAGCATCTTTGGTTTTAATGTCTACCAGTAGACTGTCAGTATCAGTGTAAAGCAAGGTGCAATCCTCACCATACTTCTTTTTCAGTGTGTTGTAATACCAGTCATACATATGGTGTTTTGACAGTTCTAAAACAGAGAACCCTACATAGATTGGTTTGTTCAGTGTGAGTTTTGTTTTATGAACGTGTATTGCTGATAGTTCATCAGAGAACTTAACACGTCTGTTGAAATTTGGTTTGGCTATTATTTTACGGAGCTTTTCATTTTCACTGCCATCTGTTTTGACTAATTTAATATCCACTCTTTTACGTATGTTTTCCATTGTTTTACCAAATACTGAGTTGTTCATAAGCTTAAAGAAATCTTTTTCAAATGAAGACTTAGCTTTTTTACGTAATTCTGTATTCAAATGTATGTAAGGCTTCATCCAAGGTTTTTCATCAAATTCTAATACTCTGTATACTTTTTTCACTTTCATGCCAAGTTGTTTATAAAGTCTCAAGTTCTTGTAATGAACAACATATTTTTTCTTATCCATTAGATTGGGAACAAGTTTTTCTACGTTCAACATGCCGTTGTTATCAAGCAGTTCATTTTGATAATCAGATAACCATTCTAATTTAACTGCAAGTTTTTCAGGTGCAAGTGGATAATCATTGTGTAGTTTATGTAAATGTTTTGGATATTCTAAATCTACTTCATATATTCTTCCTTTGCCTTTTTGTAATGGTGGAAGTTTGCCATTTATCAAGTCTTTATTGGTTAGCCATTTAAATCCACCGTATGGAAGTGGTTGGCTCATTGAATGACCATATAGGTTGTTTGCGTCTAAATACATAATGTAGCTGTCATCTTTGTCGGGGTCATAATCCGCAATATGTGGATTGTTCGCTTTGGCATGTCTTTTTGATACCATACTGATTCCACCTCTCATTCCTTTCTCAATGAAGAGATGCATGTCCAGATCTGTTAGAAGTTCTAAGTCTATTTGAGTGTATTTCAGAAGGGCATCCCATGACAGACCAGGTGCGGTGTAATAGTGTAGAGGGTCCAGTTTATATGTGTTCATACATGTTTTTCTGAATGTTTGAAAGACATCTGCAAGCAAGAGAACATCTGTTTTTAGGTATAAGTCATGATAATCACCAAGTGTTTTACAGTTGAAGGTTTTCCACACATTTTGAGCATGTTCATAGTCTTTTTGTTTAATGCTTTCATCTGTAAGACTGCTGTAAAATTTTTCTATATGAGGTAATTGTGTTTCATCAAATCTTTCTTGATTGTCTATATATTCATAAGGATAGACACCTTTGCGTAGGATGGTATCGGTTTTGTTACCAAACACTTCTCTTGTTAGTTTGAAATCAGACTTGTCAGTTGCATCAACTAATTTCTCTAATGATGAAGCCATGAACTGAAAACTGTCTAAGAATTTCAGTTGCCCTACGCTGAATGAGATGTATTTCTCTGCATTATTTGCAATACATGTAATGTTTCCACTTGTTTTATGTATCTTCTGCATGATAAGATGACTGTCGTATCCTTTTAGATTGTGAAAGACAACTGGAATCTTAGTTTTATTTGGTTTGATGACAAGCTTGAGATTGCAGGATTTGTGTGCTGCACCTCTGTATTCACCGGTGAAGTGGCAGTGGTCTCTTACTTTATCTTTATTTATTTCTTGTTTGCATATCCAACAGTGAGTAGCCTTGTCGTAATCTTGTATGTTTTGTTCTGTCATTATTAGCGGTTTAGGATGTTTAAAGATGTTGTTTATGTTTTCTACTTCACATTCTAAATGGTTTAAGAATACTTCAGCTGCATCTTCACCTCTGTATATTACTGGCTCTTCTGCTTTACCATCATATCTTACAACTTGATAACCAAAACCACAGGCTTCATGTTCACTTGTTATTTCTGATTTATCTCCTTTCTGTTCTGTTTTTGGTTTGATTATGCTTTCAAAATCGGCATAGATTACAAATGGGACAGGCATTTGATTTTGAAAGTTTTTAAACTTGACTTGGTCTCTGCCTTTTGGTGGCATTTCTATTCGCATTGAAGATTTATTAATGCCTTCACAGTCTTCTTTGTGTTTGATTAGGAGTTCCTCACGTGAGAAGCCATAAAGACACCGGTCACAAAAGTGTGTTTTCTCTTTGTGTTTGTTTTGGTCGTACAACAGTCTGTTCAGGTTCTTTATCCAGCAGTAATGGTATTTTATTTCTTTCTTTAATTGGTCTGAGTCTAGTGGTCATCAATAATTTCTTCATCATTATCAGCTTCAGCATCTTCATCAATTTCCACGTCCTCTGATATAAGGAGTAGATTAATTCTTTGTAGTTCTTTTGGTTGTTCTGATATGAAGTATGGCAACACGGTTAGTTTTTGTAATTTCTTTGATAGTGTATACCCGTAAACGTTGATTGCAAGATTGTTTTGTCGTTCCACCTTTGATATTTGTGAGGTGGGTGTAGGAAAATCTATTCCTGACATGTTCAAATCTGGGCATTTGGTGTAACTGTATATGTTATTCATGTTGGTTTTGGCCGGATGTAGGGCTGATTTTAATGCCCATTCTAAGCATCTGTCATCTTTGTTCTTCACGTTTATGATTGCTTTCTTCTTGGCAAGAGCTTCAGGTAATGCTATGTAAGATGAACCTTTCAGTGGTTCGTACCTTGCGATATTCAGATAAAGCTTGATGCAATGGTCAACCTCCAAACCAGAAGCTGTATTGGTGAACTTCTCAATCCACGTTTGTAGATATGCTACTTGATCATCAGCACTCTGGTCTCCGTGGTTTTGACCTATGACTTCTTTTCGTTTACCATCAAGTTCATCGTGATAAAATTTTATAGACAAACCTATAGAGAACTTGATACCATTGTACTCTTTAATATCTTTCCTGATTTGTTTCATCATGATGGACTTTTTATCATTAAACAAGATGCTGGGGTCTTTGTATTTTCGAGCATCCTCCTCGTATGTTCTAAAGTAGACTTTCTAAGGCTTTAGACGACTCAGGTTTTTTCTCCGGTTCGTTCAAAGCATTCAGGGCTTTGTTCAAAGCCGTATCATCAATCCTCCCTTCACTATGCAATTTTAATAGTTTTTCTACATGTTCATTCATTTTGTTTCTATTTTTATATACCATATTTTTTATTCAAATATAAAAATAACAATAGTATATAAAAACAATAACATGGAATTCCGATGTGCTATGTTGCCGCCAGGTTCAAATGAACCATGTAGAAATAAGCCAGTAAAAATTTCTATTTACTGCAAAGTTCATAACTACATCATGAAACACAACAAAAGCAAAACAGTCTCATGTCTTCAATGCGGCAAAGGCACATCATCCAAATATCAAATCTGCGTCCCATGTGGTGGGCAAGAAGTTAGGTTGAAACATAAATACGTAAACGTGATTAAACCTTGGAGGCAAGAGATTGCAAGACAGAATAGGATACACATATTTAAGTGAATGGTTATTTTTTAACACAAACCTCTCGGATACTACGATATATATATATCGCAGTATTGTCTGAGGGATATTTCAGTTTTTGCTGTTTAAACGATTTTTTGTTGTCTGTGCTCCTTTTGGAGCCTAAAAATGAGTTATATCGTAGAACCGCCATATATCATATATATATATATATGAAATCACCTGTAAAGGGTAATGGGACACTAAATTATTTCATTTCGCTAATATTCCCCAAACAGGACTCACTTGAAATCCTATCAATATTAACAATAATATCCAAAACATACCACCTAACTATTATTTTTATGCTATATAAGGGATATTTCTTGGATATTTTATCGTTAATATTGATAGAATGTCAAGTTCCTGTGGTAAAATCATAGTAATTGACCTACTGTAGAGGCTAGACTGTATGCAGTATATAACAAATAAACCACGGTTTTATGAAATAAACAGATCAGAATTTGTCTATACAGCACGTATTTACAATATCATACTGACATGTCGTCTGCTTTGCTATAATCTTTATCCGGTGTGGAGCAGAATAACAAATCTACAAAAATAAATACATACATTACATGTACTCGTTTACCTTCTAGTTTCGATTTCACTAAAAATCGTGAAACGCCCCCAAGGTTATTAGAGAAGTCACACGCAACTAAATTGTTTCCTTCCTTATTTTTATGTAAAACTGACTTGATAAATGATGGGCATTTGAGATTCATTTTAGGAAATAAAGTATCCAACACTATTAACTAGATTTCTGACGTAGGTATGATAAGGTGAATTTGAATTGTTTATATATAATTAAATGAAAAGTAGGCACGCGCAGCCGGGACTCAAACCAAAATTGTATTTTTTACAATTGAAAAAAAAAACTCAAAATATGACAACATTAAAGAATATTGCTTTCCTTTTTCATGAAATTATTAAAAACTTATATAAAAAGAGGAAATATCATAAAAAACAAGTGTGTTGTAGACACAGCTAAAATATATGCAAAACTGCTTTGAATATAATTTGTATTTTGGGCTGGAGGCCTTTATTCAAAACAATTGTTGTTGTTTGTTGAATCTGAATGTAATTATAATTTGTCAAGATGTGTAATTGAATTTCTTGAAATAAACATCTCTTGCAATAAAACTTCATGTTATAAAGGAAGTTACTGAATCAAAATTTATTATGTTATATGCTTGCCATTCGAAAATGACCTGTAAAATGATTTACACCTATTTCTGTTATCTCAAATCTCCTCGACTGCGATAAAGATACATCAAATAACATAACTATCTAGACAAATGTCAGGTTCCTTCTTTATATTCCCCTGTTATAAATAATCATATATAAGGTTCTTTTAATTATATGAAATATAGCAAATATATATGTCAATTTAATACTGCGTTGCTATTAAATGTTGCATGAAATTTACTAAATTAAAAAAAAAATCCATTATAATACTTTGATAAACTCTGATAAGCCCAGCCGTTGTTAAGTCATCACAGTGTTAATGGTAACCATACACACTTATTTAATTAAAAACCTGTTTGTGAAATAAGCAATATTTGCTCCAATTTCTTATCCTATCAGAGAGGCCAATATTTCAAGGCCTCGATACGACATGATTGACAGCAATATACATCTTTTAGCGCTAGAAATGTGTCAAGCCTTCCAAAAACATTGCACTTTTGAGCACATAACTGTTAGCAAGTTATTAAAGGGAGACACCGGCAAAAATTTTCATTTCTTAGTTTTGAATTTTTCATTCATTATTCTGTAAATGCCCTCAAAATGAATATATTAGACAGTAAATGTCACAAAACTTTTCTCCATGTAAAGAATAACATAGTGGTTTCTTAACTTGACCCGCGTGGGTCAGGTTAGAGCGCTATGATTTCGCAATATTTGTCAAAGTGAACTCTGGAAACGTTAAAGAACATTTCAAATAAATGACATAGACTTGTTTCAATCATACAATATCCAAAATATCTGAAAATGTAACTTAAAGGGTTTGTTCAAGTCACATGACTTGTTTTAAAACTATTTGGTGATTCTATTGGTGTCAAAATGTTGTTCAACATATATAGATATATTTACGTTTCAAACCCAAAATATATAAAATTCAAATGGAAATTCATGCTGAAACTTCAAGAAACGTCATTTTAGCCTGATTTGAGTACATAGGATCATTTTAATATTTTGTCATTATTTTGCTTGAATATCCCTTTAAATTATATCTGTCAAAAAGCATTATGGTTTTTAAGTACGGCATTTTCTAAAATGTGACCTGTCTATTTATTAAATTTCAAGGTCAGTTCTCTAATACTTTTTTAATTTATGCCCCAGATAAAATTAAGTATGAAAGTTAACAAAAAGACAATTTACCAAGTATAAGTTAGTGCTGTTCTACAGAAATTAGAAATTTTGCGGGAGAATGTTTATAATTAATGTAGAACAGCTACCATACTTCTCACTGGCCATAGCTTTCGCATAAGCGGTGGGTCCATCGCAGTGGTATTCGTCGCAGAAGCGGTGGATAAAATATGGCCGTTTGCTGTTGTCAGTAAGTTTATGAATTTTTTATTATGTTTTACTGGAAACACTTAGTGAGACTGGAGCCCACGTATGTGCTCTTTAAACTTGTTACACGCACACGGTGCAATTCATTGCCGTTTATGCAAACACTTCTGTGTAGTTTGACGAGGGGACGCCACTTTTGCCTAATTTTGGTTAAAACACGTACAAATGTGTGCAAAACGACCCCATAATACAACGGCATCACATCAAATGAATGATACTTTCACAAATTAACCATATATTTTGAAAATTTGGGAAATTACTATTGCCTGTTTATAAAATAAATGATCATGATGTGTCATACTAAATATCGTAGCTCTAGCTCTTAGGTTTTTTTTTTAAATATCTTTTAAGTTTTTACTATATACATAAAGGGAAAAACAATGACCCCCTGGGGCGGGGTCAATTTTGACCTCAGGGCTTATATTTAAACAAACTTGGTAGACACCTACTAGAAGATATCTCATGCTTACTATCTAAGCTCAAGCTATTTGAGATTTTTATAAGAAGATTTTTTAGTTTTGACTATATACAAATAAGGACAATCAATGACCCCTCCCCCCGGGCGGGGCCAATTTTGACCCCATAGCATTTATTTGTACAAACTTGGTAGACACTGACTAGACGATGTTTCATGCCAAATATTTAAGCTCTAGCTCTTTCGGTACTTAGAAGCACTAAGATGATGTAATGAATGTAAAGGGTTAAACTTAACAAGTAAAAAGGGCGAATACAAAACAATCATACAAAATAAACGTAAAACTAATAAAGCAGAAAAAATTAAAGATAAAGGAAAAATCAACCGCGTGATTTAGGAAATTTTTCTCAGAAACAGAAAGAAAATAAAGGTTGTGATATACCAGTGGAATCTTTTTATGATTACTTCAAGAATATTTCAGTTCATAGAAGCTGGAGACACATTAGCTGGACATTTTGTCGACTTGTTTAATATGATAAGCAGATTATTGGACAGAAGGGATAATCAT